CAAGGTCGCAAATATTACAACAAGTGTTCTCATATTACTCTATGAATATAACGGAGGAAAATTTTACGGGAAAAAATTTTACCTGGGATTTTTTTGTGTAATTTTGGAAATTGCCTCCTTTTAGCAAGTTTTTTTTGTGTAATAATATTTTTATAGATCTATGTGAATACATAAACGATTTTGACAGTTACTAAATATGTACTGAATTAGTTTTAAGGTAACATAATTATGATCATATCACCGCAGCCGTCCTTTTGTATATTTAGATACGAACGAAGTGTTCTAACCAATTTAGATGTGAAATAAAGTTTTGTAAGAAAATATACGTTTTTATATATGAAACCTCAATTTCTACGCCCAGAAATAGGACTCACCCGTATTCACAAACGATGCTTGCTTAAGTGAAGCAGCAAATCGAACGCACAGCGTTGAATAGAGCTCTGTGATTGGTTCGTCTGTGACCCTGTGAGCTCACGCGCACTGTGAGACCTCATAATAATGTTTGTGATTACGGGCTATATTAGTTACTAAACTCTCAGTAAGGAAAGATTGAACCTGGGGGAGTTTCTAGGTTATCTGGCCCGCAACAGTTAGGGCCAGAACAGACGGTGAAACGCAACTGCAACTGCTAGTTACTTTTGAGTAGCATCTAAGTTTCAGTTTCATTCATCAGAATCATCAGAAAGTTGCAGTTTCGTTGCAGTTGCATTTCACCGTCTGTTCTGGGCTTTAGAGAAGTTTTGGGACTTACTTGGCCAACTGCCGGTCGACGTTTGCTTGCAAAGTCCTGGGGCTTAAAATTCCCGGCCGGGGCTCAAATCCAATAGTTTCAGCGGGTCTTGCTGCACACACAACTATTCACAGCATATTTCTTGAACAAAGCAGGTCTTCATACTGTTGTTGCAGTTTTTCACTCGCACGCGCGCGCCATTGAACTTGACTGGATGTAGGTAGTTCGTACTTCTCATAGTTTCGAGACTAGCAGCGCCCTCTCGTGGCGTGTTTGCGTACTCATTTTTGGTTGGCCAAAGAGTTTGGAATAAGAATGCGCAGTCAATATTAATTATAGCCTGACCAGGAACNCACAGAATAAGTAATAGTACAGGTACAGAAGGATTACTCCGCAAGACGATTTAAATAAATGCGAGTCTTGCTGCGACGCGATACAGTGGAATTCAGCTCGCACAGCACTACGTACCTGCAATTTTATTCACCTACAAGTTTTGTCTCTTTCTATCGCGTGCCTCTGAACTCTTCTTACGCTGTTAGGGTTGCTGTCTAGTGAAAAAAATAATTAATCTACTTATATGTCATGAGGCATGACTACGTACCACATGATACGTATGTATGTAAGTACGCATTCATTATGGAAAACCTTGGGAGAGGCCTTTGTCCAGCAGTGGACGTCATTTGGCTGAAACGAACGAATGCATTCTGAGCAGTAGTCATGGTAGGTTAGGTTCCTATACTATCCTAAGAATTATTGATTACCTACATGGCCAACATACCTTTCAGCATCTTTGGGAAGCGAAAAAAAAGATAAATCCGGTAGATTTATTTTCGAATTTAAACACCCGAACGCCGCACAATATTTCTTTCTCTTTATGTCCATTTTTAAATAATACTTCGATCATAGAATTAGGTACATACTACAATGCACGCCAGCGTCCTGACGGGCGCGCGCGTGACACTCGACTGATATAATACCCGCCGGCGGGGCGCTTCGCTGTAGGTAATTATCGGATGTACCGCGCGGAGTGAGCCAGGCCTGACATTGTAGTTGAATATTCAAGTTCAGAATTTGATTATTGATGAATAATAATAAAATCCTACTTGCTCGATTGATGGTTTCATTTAATTTATTTAAACCAGTTTACCTATAATATAATATGTTTTTGTTAATTTATGAAAATATTAAATTAGCCTATAATCCTGAATCCTGATACATAAAGTTAGCCTATTAATTTAATACAGGTACGACTGTACCCAGTGTTGCACTATCAAATGCAATTGAAGCGCCTCTATGCCAGGGTTTTTATGTTCCTGGTCAGGCTATAAACACAGAATGAAGGGTAATTAATTTATAAAATTTAAATTTACTTTGATGTAAATTAACACACATATAATTGAGGCGTCTAGTTTCAAATCCCGCTAAAACGATTTTGATAAGATTTCGAGAAATTGAAAAAAACCGCTTATCCATATAGCTTTGGCCTTAGGCAAAAAAAAAATGATACGAATTATTATTGTCATCTGGCAATACTAACAGTAATTGCTATTTAATTTTATCTTTAAATTAAATATAATTTGAATTATAATGAAAAATATTTTCATTTTGGCGTATTTTGTTACGAACATTCGGTTTTAATGGGATTTGAAACGGACATGTTGTTTAGCGGGATTTGATAAGAGCAAATTATGAAGCAACCACGTTATAAAAAAAACTCCATACTGATTTCGCAGTCACGTGACCAAAATACCGTGCTACCATTGGTCATTCAACTTTTGGAGGGTTTTGAAAGAAACGGACGGCGTTTTAGCGGAGTTTGTAACACAAACCTAATTTTAAGTGCTAGTTTAGTAGTCTTTTAGTGTATTTTGATCGAAAATGATTGAACAGTATGATGAGAAAATTGCAGTAGCATCATTTAGAGATATAAACAGAAATTAGTTGCAGCAGTGTTTTAGCGGGTTTTGAAACTAGACGACTCAATTATGTCAAAAAGTAGTAATAGATAATTTAGCAAGGAATGGTAAAAATAAATAAAAACAAGACTAATGTTCAAATAAATGTATTTAAAAATAAAACATACAATTCTACATTTTATGTACATACATTAGCGACAATGTGACCTTATTTTAAGAAAGCTCAGTACATCAGATATAAAACCTTTTTATACTTACAATTTTGAAAAATAAAATTAAAAGATTGCAGTAACGTTTTATACTAGTAGAATAGGGGTAGAATAGGACCACCATAAACTCTTCCCGTGGATGTCGTGACATGACAGGAATGAAAAAAAAAACCAAAAAAACGACATCAAAATAGAATGAATGAACTATTTATAAATAATATCCACACAATACCACGTTATTTGAAACTTCGATCAAGAGAAATACTTTTTAAGAACTAGGAAACTAGGAATAAATACTTTTTAAAGTTATAATGAGAAGTACTTTTTAGAACTGGGAACCCCAGAATAATTTATACAATAATATTATTATTCTTCAATCCTACTTTCGACACAAAGTTGTATCTATTGTTATTTTTAAATCAATTTAACGGGAATAAAGTCACTAGGAATATTCCCGGTAAGGAGAATTGTCTCAAATAATTTCTTCTCGTTGATCGAAGATTTCAACATTCCACAATAGTAATTAATATCATTCCAGACTAAAAATAAATAAAAAAGTGTTGTAACCCTTAAAAATTAATGTAGTTATAAATGTAACAATCAGTGAAATGCAACAAATAGTCTAGTTTCCAAATTCGAGTACGTAAAATTACATTCTAAAATAAGATCTGGCGTTACTGAATTCAATTATCAAACGGGACTATTCCCACCGCTGCAACTCCTGTGTAGCCAGGATCTACAGCTTGACCACCAATAACCCAACCTGTGAAGGCCAAGTTTGTCCCGGGGGAAAGTTAAGCTGTCATTGGACCCGCAACGAAATTGATCAGAAGACCATTTAGTTCGAAAGGATCGACTTACACCAGGGATGGAGTCAGTTTAATTACTCGAAAAAAGAAACTACATAGATTAACATTAATAATATCTTAGGTATGTTTAGACCAGATTTGATTTGTGCTGCATAAATAACTCTGTGCCAATATTTGAAAACAATAACCGGTACTTTTGTAGGGAGTTTGACAGATTTTTGACGTTTGTCAAAGTTAAAGTGGTGCAACTCAGCGTTAGTTTGGAATTATACAGGGTGAGCGATTTCCCCAAGAGAAGTTAAATTTTCCAAAATAATACCCCTTTTCATACAAATTGACATTAGTTCAGACACCAGCAGTTTGTATGGGGACGTCAATTTATTTGGAGAATAACTCCCGATTAACTATAGATATTGATAGATTAACTCCCGTATTTACTCAAACGATGCTTGCTTAAGTGAAGCAGCAAATCTCGCACAGCAATAGAACTGTGATTTTTTCGTGTGTGACCCTGTGCGTCCACGCGCACTGTGAGACCTCATAGTAATGTTTGTAAATACGGGCCCAAATCCTTTTTGTTTGATCATCCACTAATAGGTCACTAACACAGAACAGCCCAAATCTGCACTCTTATGATAATAAAATTCTATGAGTTCAACAATACAAGTTACAGCCATGATACTAAAATAATACTTCCATAATCAGATTAAATATGAACCAAAAATACACAATTGTTGTAAAGATTATTTAATTTTGATGTTTGCGGTCCATACAATCTCTAAAATGTAAACATTTGCATAAATAAATCAACTATAGTCTGGTCCGGGAGCACGTAGAATTTTGTCCAATGACCCCAAGCTACCCCTCCTTATCGCTCGCGCGTAATTATATTGCTGTCGCGACTGTGCGACGGGCGCCCGCAGTGAGTGTGCGAGCGTGACAGCAACATAATTACGCGCGAGCGATAAGGATGGATAGCTTGGGGTCATTGGACAAAATTCTACGTGCTCCCGGACCAGACTATAATACTAATTAATGACATCTGCAATTAATTTTATAGGCCTAACGCTTAACTCTAGTCAGTACCTGAGGTATGGGAGTGGCAAGTGAGGGTGACTTCAAACGTCAGCGAGACTTCAGATCTCCTTCATAATTATACAGGGTGTGTCGAAAATAGTGGTCCAAAGCAAAGGGGTTGATACACTGTACACTGAGGTACCACATACCAGTATTTAAAAGAAAAATTTTCAAGGTAGTTATTTTTTTTTAATTTGTACCTTGCTTTACAAATTTAATTACATTTATGTATTAACTAAGTATTCCAATTTTTTTTTGAAAACTGAATTTCAATAAACAAGTTTGTTTCGAAATTCAATACTCACTACTTCTTCTTTTCGTGTCGACAACAAACCTTTACTTGTTTCGAAATTCAATACTCACTACTTCTTTTCGTGTCGACAACAAACCTACACAGTGTCAGCCCAAAACTCCGCTACAAGAGTGGCGTTGTCAGCAGCACTCATCAAATACTCACTACTAGCAAATCGCTTGACTTTACCTTTTTTTTAATACTGGTATGTGGTACCTCAGTGTATAGTGTATCGACCCTTTTGCTTTGGACCACTATTTACGACACATCCTGTATATTTTGTCATACAAAATGTCAATGTCACAAACCTCAGGCATTGACTGATTTAAGTGCTTGACAAATGACATCTATAATGGACTTTAGCATTATTAAGGCATTATTTCAACGTATGTAGATATAATACAAAAGCTTTAAATATTCATAGACAACATCCAATATTTTGAAGTATTAAAAATACAATATTTTTATAACTACAAAACGTAGAAGTATTTATTTGAAAACAGGAATTTATTCCTTTAAAAAACAAAATTTTTGAGAGTATTTTTATATGCAAATACTTTACTTAATTTTGAATAAATAAATATCAATATAATAAGTATTATTGTTAAATTAAAGATCAATTTAAAAATTCACTTAATCGATAAAAAAATTCTTATTGAGATTTCAAGTTCACAGTTTTTTAAATAAAATGAAGAAATCTCATTTTAATATAAAAATATATAGACATGCTATCCTTTTTTATCACTGGGTATTCGAAAGAGAACGATATACATTTATAATGTGACTCTTAATATACAGGGTGTAAAAACATAAAATATGTAGTAAAAGATTTTCTAGCGATATTTATTGTTTTTCAAATACAACATAATAAAGCAAAATTAAATTAAAATATCGTGTAATTTACAAAACTACATTATATTCAATTCAAAAACTAAGATCCAAGCTTTCAAATCTCGTTTTTTTTAATGTTACACCCTATATTTATCCCTGTAACTATTATGGGTACATATAAAATTAAAAAATATACTGTATGTACCTATTCCTATTTGATTTTGTGATTTGGAAGTAAACAACAATTAACTAAGACCCGAAAAGCGTACCTGCATGTAAGAATCTTTTCACCATTCAGTAAATCTGAAAGAGAAAAAACATTATGTTAAGCAATACATACCATTGCGTATCTTTATAAAAAAAATCTATCTGGCTGTCGACCCGTACCATCTGTCTAGCTATAAACCCTTACCATCTGCCTAGCTAAAGTCCGGTCGCTGAGCAGATAGAATTTCGTACTATGACCCCAAGCTACCCATCCTTATCGCTCGCGCGTAATTATATTGCTGTCGCGCTCGCACACTCACTGCGGCCGCCCATCGCAGAGTCGCGACTGCTCAGCGACCGGACTTTATCAACCCATACTATCTATGTAAATGTCAACATTTACCACTTCCCTAAATATCAACCCTTGCCCTCTGACTAGCTGTCAACCCTTGACCTTTACCATTCGCCTAGCTGTCAACCCTTACCATATGCCTATCTGTCAACCCTTACTATCTTTCTATCTGTCAACCCATACCATCTTCCTATCTGTCAAACTTTACTGCTTACATAGCTGTCAGTCAACCCATACCATTATGCCTATCTGTCAACTTACCTAGCTATCCAGGCCGTGGTGCTTCCTCTTAATTCGTGCATAGGGCCCGATGTCGGGGTCCGTCACAAAGTCGTACAGCACGCTCGACCAGCTGTTATGCTGCGGCAAGTTTTCATAGAACTCTGATGCTATCCTTCTGACCTGATGGACAGACGAATTCAAATGAAGAAGAAGAAGAAAGAAATATCGTTTATTTGGTTCACAAAATTGCACAGTTTTAAATTAATATTAGTATTTCTTTAATTGGCTTATGTTCAAGTTGTATCTTCCTGCACATTTATGTACAATTTAATGCTGTTGAAACATTGTTAAACAAATAAAATAAAAAATAAAAAAATAAAAATTTATGAAATAATAAAAAAAACGGGTCAATGGTCTATTCATTGACAGTTTCTGATTTCTTGATTCAGTGAGGAATATTGCGCCAAAGAATAATGTTCGTCACTTAAAACCGTGTGTTTGCTTAATTTTGTGTCTGATTATGGCTGAATTTGTTTGGAAAAAAATATATTTTTATTTTTAACTACATTGTTTAGCTATCAAGAATTTATATTTAATAGTCAATGTTTGCATTTATTGTCGTATTGTGATATTGTCATCTCCACCTTGTGTACATTTTTTCAAAATTTTTGATGCGCGAGGCCCCTTGTACCGCGAGGCCGTAGGCGGTGGCCCACGTCGCCCACGCCTTACGCCGCCACTGCTCACAGTGCGCGTGGACGCACAGGGTGACACACGAATCAATCACAGAGCTCTATTCAATGGTGTGCGTTCGATTTGATGCTTCACTTAAGGCTTGGTATTTCTTCTAAAGTAGGTATTTCGCGCTGTCAAAATCTGCGCGCGCAATTCTTCGCCGAAAACAGCGCGTCAAAGAGCTCCCGCCACAATTTCCAGCTACGCAGTATAGAAATACGCAGTTGGTTAAGTTAGGTCGACTTCCTTCCCTTCAAGCGTCACACGAACAATTCGAAAGGGTAATTTGACGGTGTTTGGGGAATTCTAGGAATAAATACAGAGTCTCCTCATTGAGATTGAGACATTTCAATTTGAGATTTCACTTGACAATGAACAAAATCTGAAATGGATTTTTCAAACACTTGTAAAAATAAAAAGTAATTAAATCAAAGGCACTAAGTATAGCCTGACCAGGAACATAAAAACCCTGGCACAGAGGCGCTTCAATTGCATTTGATAGTGCAACACTGAGTACAGTCGTACATGTGTTAAATTAATAGGCTAAATTTATGTATCAGGATTCAGGATTACGGGCTAATTTGA